TATCCCCTGCTCGCAGCGAGCGTAGGAGGCTATGCCAAAGTTATTTGCCAAGACTTGATGAATTATTGAGTACAAGTAGGCAGCTTTCGAGCAAGCCATTAGGTGACCGGCGCGGTCTGAGCAGCCAGCCATTTTGGCACGGCACAAGGTGACCATAGCGGTCTAGGCAAGTTTAAGGTTCATTGGAACCTGTCCCATTCTTATAGCACACACAGCGCATACATGCAAACGAGGCGAAGTCTTCCTAGGTGTTTCTGATGAGGTTCGGCTTCATCGGTTCTCGTCCCCTTCATTTGGTTCCCTTTTCATCCTTTTTCCCCTTTACACACCTTTGGTTTCCTCTTTTCTTTCATGTCCTCCTGTCTTCATGTCTGGTCATCTCATCCTTTGCTTCGTTTGCGCGCACATTGGTCCCGGCCTTACGTGCACTTCTACATACATTTTAAACACAGGTTTCAGGTTGCTGAGGTCTTTACAATGAGGTGGGGTTCATCGGTTGTCCCTGTGCATTTGGCTTCTCTTTCATTGCAACCACACACCTTTTTGTCCCGTCTTGTCATCCTTCTCATGTCTTCATCCTTTTGTCTTTACCGCGCTCACATTTACACGACCGTCCTAGCCTTACTTCTTTTTGCCTCTGTGTCCTGTCTGGAGTCACGAGGTTCCTTTTGGACTGTTTTGTTTCTTGATGTTCTTTTAGCAGGGGGATGGGACACCACTGGCATTTCCCGTTCAACGAAGAGGGTGCCAGTAGGTGCTGATGCAGTGGGAAACGCCCCACTGCGTACCTGCTCTAGGTTTTAAGTTTGTGTTTGTGTCTGGTGAACCTGTAGCGCTGGCCTCAAACCTGGTGCGATGGCCTCCACGCACTAGAAATGACCCCCAACCTTGTTGTTTTGCTGGTGCTTTTGTCAACTTGTAGCGCTGGCCTCCAACTTGGTACTCTGGCTTCCAACCTACTAGCGATGACCTCCAACCTTGTTGCTTGGTGTCGCTTTCAGCTTGTGCACCTAACCTACTAGCGATGGCCCCTCAACCTGCTTTCGATGGCCTCCAACCTTAGAGCGACGACCTCCAGCTTTTTTGCCTTGGTTTACTCAGTTTTTTTAAACTTATGTTGCCATGTCGCGAGCGGCATTCGAGTCCGTACGCATTTCTATAAGTGTGTGTGTGTGAGTGAGTGAGTGAGTGAGTGAGTGAGTGAGTGAGTGTGGGTGTGAGTGTGAGTGAGAGCGTGAGTGAGAGTGAGAGAGTGAGACAGTGAGAGGGTGAGAGTGAGAGGGAAAGTGAGTGTGAGTGTGAGAGTGAGAGTGAGTGGGTGAGTGTGAATGTGAGTGTGAGTGTGAGTGAGTGTGAGTGAGAGTGAGTGTGAGTGAGAGTGAGTGGGAGTGAGTGTGAGTGAGGATGAGTGAGAGTGAGTGTGAGTGTGTGTGTGTGCGTGAGAGAGTGAGAGCGAGTGAGGGAGTGTGAGTGTGAGCGTGTGTGAGTATACGAGTGTGAGAGCGAGAGGTGAGCATCTGAGAGCACAGAGTGCTGCGCCTGCCATGAAATCTCCACTTCGAGGTTCACCAAGTGCTGTGCCTGCCACGAAATCTGCACGCCTGCCACGAAATCTGCGCTTCGAGGTTCACAACGTACTGCACCTGCTACGAAATCTGCACTTCGAGGTTCGCAAAGTGCTGTGCCTGCCACGAAATCTGCAAAAGAACCACATGTTGAAAAGCCACTGCACCTGTCACGAAATCAGAGCCCCTCGAAAGATCACCACCATGTCCAAAGTTATCACAATTTTTTTAATCAAATTTTCATTCATTACATATTGTTTTCTTACGTTCATTCACCCCAAAAAGATTGTCCACAGTTTTAGTCATTAGACTGTGTTTCCTCAACTCTCCTCACCAAAACTTTTGTCCACAGTTTCAGTCATTAGACTTTGCTTCCTGAACTCTCCTCACCAAAACTTTTGTCGGACGGGAAAACAATCGACATCCCACGAAGTTCTAAGATCTGTGGCGTGGTTACAAGCTTCAGTGACGACTTCTCTTGCAAACAGCACAACCTGAGGAAGCATCCCGCTAATCATTAGGTGGTTTGTTCCTCTGGCTCCTGCTGCTCCACCGACTCTTCGTCCTCGATGACTACATCCTGCGGGTGAGTCGGATCTAGGGGCATAGTCGGTCATGACTTTCCCGCAAGCAGCACGACCCGAGGAGCATCCCGCTAAGCAGTCAGTGGTTTGCTCCTCTAGCTCCGGCGGCTCCACCGACCATTCTTCGTCCTCGATGTCTGGAACACCATCAAGTTCGGATGCGGCCAGTCTGCGGAGAGATATTTCCAGGCGTCTTCCTCGATCGTGTCATCGCCGCAGTCCTGAAGGAGAGCAGACGGAGTTGTGCGTAGGTTTATGCAGAAGTACTGCTGAACGTTCACTGTAAGGCTAAATTCTAGCAGCAATGAGGCCACTGGAAAAACAATAGGGTCCACACAGGGTCACGGTTCTGGCCTCAAATTCGACACCTTCCTCCAACATCCGAGGTCCAAGGTACCGCCATACGCACGTGCTCAACAAGCGTCCTTGAGCCGAAAGATGCGTTCCGTGAACGTGTCCGAGTCCGCTCCATTCGACTCAGGTAGATCCACGATAGCTATCACTCTTCTGGCTAAAGTTAGCACTCTCTGCCTACTTCGGCACGCCTAGGAACCAGCCAGTCCTGGGTTTGCGCCTGGACTTCTGGATCTTCTGGTCCACCGTACTCGCATTACACGCTAGTCGGGTCCACAGTTTTAGTCATTAGATTTTGCTTCCTGAACTCTCCTCACCAAAAAAATTTACCCACAGTTTTATTCAATAGATGTTGTTTCCTTACTTTCATTCACCCCAAGAAGTTTTGGCCACAGTTTTAGTCATTAGATTTTGTGTCCTCAACTCTCCTCACCAAAAGTTTTGCCCACACTTGGATGATTTTTGTCCAGGTTTAATTCCAAAAGCATCACAAATTAGTGCAAAACATTGCAAAAACATGCAAAAATATGAAAAGGTCATCAAAAAAACGTAAAAGTGATATGCACTTTGTATGTAGTTTGTATGTACTTTGTATGTACTTTACATGTAGTTTTCAAAACTACATACAAACTACATATGGCGATATGTACTTTGTATGTAGTTTTGGAAAACTACATATAAAACAACATACAAAGTACATACAAACTACATACAAAGTACATATCAATTTTAAGTTTTTTTGAAAAACTTTTCATTTTTGCATATTTCTGCATATTTTTGCATATATTTGCAATGTTTTGCACTAATTCGTGATGCTTTTGGAATTGAACCTGAACAAAATTATCCAAGTGTGGGCAAAACTTTTGGTGAGGAGGGTTGACGAAGCAAAATCTAATTGCTCAAACCGTGGACAAAAATTTTGGGTGAGGAGAGTTGAGGACACAAAATCTAATGACTAAAACTGTGGCCAAAACTTTTTGGGGTGACTGAAAGTAAGGAAACACAATCTAATAAAAAAAACTGTCCACAGTTTTAGTCATTAGATTTGTTTCCTTAATTTCCCTCACCCCAAAAGGATTGTCCACAGTTCTAGTCATTACATTTTGCTTCCTTTCTCTCACCCAAAACGTTTTTCCACAGCTTTAGTCATACGATTTTGTTTCCTGAACTCTCCTCACCAAAAATTTTAGCCCACAGTTTGATTCAATAGATTTTGTTTCCTTGCTCTCATTCACCCCAAAAAGTTTTGGCCACAGTTTTAGTCTTTAGATTTTGTGTCCTCAACTCTCCTCACCAAAAAAAATGTCCACAGTTTTAGGCATTTGATTTTGCTTCCTCAACTCTCCTCATCAAAAACTTTTGCCCACAGTTTTAGTCTTTGGATTTTGTTTCCGCACTGTCCTTCTCCCCCCAAAAAACATTTTCCCTGTCCTGTTCCTCTCTCTCTTCCTTTTCTTGTTCCTTTTCCTCTTCCTTTTTTTGCCATGTTCCTCCTCCTTTTTCCTTTTCCTTTTCCTTGTTTTTTTCCTCTTCCTTTTCCTGAATTATGACAGACCCTGATGCCACAGAGAAGAGAAACAAATATGTGGGATTGAAATTTCCCAAGAATTTCACATTGACACCTTGAGGTGGATTTGTGAAAGTATTTGTAGAACATATGTGGCACATGAATTTGTGCTAAATGTATTTGTAAATGTATTTAATTGAATACATTGGTCAGAACATGAAAACTGTGGCCCAGATGTATCTGTGTTGCCACATGTTGGCACACATTCTTTGGGAGATGTTGTGGCACACATGAATCAGAACTACTTGGGGAAGTGAAAACATGCATTGTTCTTTGCATGGGGAAGTAAAAGCAAGTGTCTTGACAGCCCATGTGGTGAACCATTCTGATGTTATTTTCTAGAACAACTGCAGAAACTGTGAGGTTATTCTTAAGAATAACTTAAGAATAACCTCAGTGAGGTTAGAGTTAACCTCAGGAAAAAATAACCTCAGGTTGTTTTTAACCTCAGCTGATCTATAGGGTAAAAACTGCTTCAGCACAAAGTTAGGGTAAGTCACAGACTAAACATAATTGCACGGGGGTGATATGTCATTGCTCAGACCACCATGTCCAAAAATGCGCACGGCGCCACAACGAGAGCGCAGTCGCGAGAAGCACTCGCTCCAGCAGTCGAAATGCACTTCGAGGATTTCGAGAGGCATGAATGTACTGTAAATAGCAGCGAAATAGCCGGACACGGCCGCGCGGCACAGCTGCTTTACCATCACCGTAAGAACCCCTGTTCACACTGTTTAGGGACAAAAGAGTATGTCGATGTCGAGGGTCCAAAGCGCTGCTGTGGACGGTTCGACGCCTACTATGAAGGGCCCAAGGATTCTTAGGGCTTAACATCATCTTGGATTTGCTTAATTCAGGAACCGGAAAACATCATTTCCAGAAGGGGATTCACCCACAGGGAAAGGTAGGAGCATCTTGCAACCCAAGAACCGATGCAAAAGATGCACATCACCTCAGCCGTCGTGGCCGCGTGCCCAAAGATGGCCCTTCACGAGGCAGGATCACAGCACTCAAATGCACCGGAATAGATTCGAAGAACAATCTTCGGTATATTTGCCCTGGAATTCCAAGAACATCCAAGAACCATGGTCTTCTACCCTCCACACCCATGTTTCTGAACCCGTGGTCTTCCCGTGTTTTGAGCGAACTAGGTTGGGGTGTTCACCTGAACCCTTCGTGGATGTCCAAACCCTGCAGTGTTGAACGGGACCCGTGCGGGTCGCTGTGCTGGACCCGGACTCACATACGAGGAATGAGCTGCTGCTGGACTCAACACCCCCAAAAAGGAACACCTCGCAGTTCCGGTGGCTTAGAGACCCATTTTGGGGTGGCACATTTTGTTGACCATCCAACAACCAGGTCGTGCTGGGTTGGTTGCTTGGTCTTCGGCAAGTCTCTCTTGTCTTGATTGCTTGGGAGAAGGAACAAAGCCCACGTGGCACATGTTGGTTTTTGCAAACAGCCTTTTGAAGCGATCGCTTCTTTTGAAGCTATCGTGCCAACCTGTAAACTCTGCATCCATGTATGGATTACATAATACATACAGTAACTATCATGCATATAGTTTATATACTATATCTACAATATTTATACCACATATACTGAATATATATTACTATATATATATATCATTTTACTCATGTTTAATCGTTTTGTCATTTATGATCCTAATTCAATGCGTCAGTAGCTATTCCATACATGGATGGTCTGGATTGGAAGAACAATATACCGATAAAAACTACCGATGTATACCTTCAAGCCTTCAACCCTCCACTATCCTCTACCAAACCGAGCTTGTTCATGGATGACAAACCCATGATAAGCCATGTTTTTGGGTCACTTGTATTGAATTAAAACAAAACACACACACACACTTTTCGGTGCCAAAGCCGAGGAAAGTCCACACCGACGGCTGACGTGTCCGCCGAGGGCCCCGGCCCGACCAAAGCGAAACTCCGAGAGCCAGGCATAGGCCTGGCCCGGTGCAGCCGGTGCAGCGGTGACTCGAACGTGGATTTTTCATCCGGAACAGGAAGTAAGAAACATATCAGATCATATCCAGGGAGCTGGAAGAAGTGATTTCATGTTATTTCTGCGTTTGTTCGGCGGATGTTGTGCGGAAATGGTCCGTAGTTAGGCAGCGATAGTTTTAAGAGTTGACAGTTTAACGATAGTTTAAGTTCATGTTTATGCATATGTTTACACTCCACCAAGTCAAAGCACCGTGCACTCAATGGCGAATCCAATTCGATCAAACCCTGCGACTCCTCAGGAACAACAACAACAACAACTACTACTACTACAACGGGATACAACAGCTGGATACAACTGGCAAGGGAGGCTTCATAAGTTATGGATTAATAGATATAATATGGATGTGATGCTTAATGGTTGTGGAATAGTTGTGGTGTCGTACTGTTTCATAGAGAAACTACTAATAACTATATCCACAACTATATCCATAGAGAATATGAATAGTTGTGGTTTCATACTGTTTCAAACGATCATGGACCCCGAATCTGGAGGGGTCAGGGGTTCCTTCGTTGGCCTCGTCCAAAATGGCTGAGCTTCGCCACCTTCGTCCTCCAGGGCCCCTCTTCTCCACCTTCGAAACAAAGCATGCCTAACCCTATGTCACCGCCCTACCACCCTGAGCCCCGCCCTACCACCCTGCCACCCTGCTGATGTCTGCCCCATGGGACTCTTAGAGGGATTGAAGTTGTACCATATAACCTACTTTTCGTTGTTCACTTTGGGCTATCCCCTCTCTCTCTCTCTATATATATATATATATCCCAGACACGACCCATGGGACTGCCATAGGACTGCCGATCAGTTGGGGTGGTTTGGGGGGTCAATGTAGGCATATATGGCATACATGGAGTGTCTGGGTATATATATATACATATATCTATGTACGAAATCAACCCACCAAGGCTTAGGCCTTGTAACTGGTATGCTGCCAGCGCCTCGTCTTCCGTCAGCTTTTGGATGCGACCTTCTAAAGGGCCTGTCTCATGCAACACGGCCTTAGTCGCGATCTGTCACGAAGGGGTCACGGCTTCGGCAAGGAACAAATCATGTACTGTGTCTAATGGCGACACGGACTCCAAACGTTCAACGGATCAGGATACTTTGTGATAATCTTTAGTCAGTCTTCTATAAGGGTCTTTTCTCCGAAATCACTGTTTTCGTTGAACACCATACCTACTACAATCCACAAAATACAAGTTTTCGTTGAAATCACTTTAATACCAGCCACAGCGAGCAGCGAACCCCCGCCCCACCCGGCCCCACGTCTTCGCCCAATCCCAGTCGCACGAGCCCGGGAGGCGATTTGCAATCCCATCTTGAAGGACAGGAACGGCGCAGTGACCTGCGGCGCAGTGTCCACGGTTCTGCCCGGGACCCTCAAGTATCGGGACCCGTTCCTAGTAGACTACGCTGTTGCTTCGGGGTCAGAGGCTGTGACCCCTCTGAAAAAGAGGCTGCGACCCCTGCGAAGAGGGACAAAGAAGGTCCGTGGGAACTCCCGTACTGGGCGCGAACGAGCCATCCGGCTCACATGAGCCATCACTCCCTGAGCTGGTGCTATTCCTATCTTCCCTCGCCTTCCAAGACCATTAAACACATCGACCAGTGTAAAATTCATAGTAAAACAATTGTTTTGGCGCGCGGTTGGAATCCATGCTTTGTCTTCAAGTTCACCCGACCTTGATCCTGCGGGACTAGACTAGACCTTGGGTTCTTTGCTGAGCAAATGTCCATCTTTTTGTCCAGACCAGCAAACGCGGTGCAGTTCAGTTTCGCTGAAAGCCTCAGGCATCTGCAGAAGCTTGGATTCTGGATGGCTGGATCCCATCATGTCAGAGCCTCACAATCATCGTCGTTCGCGCTCCTCTGGGCTTTCACATCGATGTCATATTCAGCCATGACAACCTGCTTGTGGGAGGTAAAAGTACGCACTTTGCAGCGTTCCTGCCACTGACGAGGCAGTGGGCAAAACGGCAAAGCGTTTGACCTTGTAGGCTGCCTCTTTGCCACTATTCTACAAGATCCTTGATTCAACATGTGTACTCCATACTAGTAGGTTGGAGGCCATCACTTGTAGGTTGGAGGCCATCTCTATTAGGTTGGAGGCAATCGCTAGTGGGTTGGAGGCCATCGCCAGTAGGTTGCAGGTCATTGCTAGGGTGGAGGCCGTTGCTATTAGGTTGGAGGCCATCGCTGGTAGGTTGAAGACCATCGCTAATAGGTTGGAGGCCATTTCGTAGTAGGTTGGAGGCCATCACTATTAGTTTGTCGGAGGCCATCGCTATTTTCTTTCTTCGATCGACTCTGTTATTTCATGTCATGTTTTTAATGTGTACTCTGTCTCTGGATCTTCATTTCAAACCAATCGAGACTTGCGTGTCCACGACTGGGTCCTCCAACTGTGGCTCTCATATGTGCATATATTGGCTACCAGGGGCCCTCAAAACCATGAAAAACAATGGTGTTCATATTGTGTTTTTATGTTTTTTTTGCTAGGAAAAACAAGGTTTTGGATGGTTTTGAGGGCCTCTGGTACATACACCCTCTTGGATCCTTTTGGTCTTTGAACAAACCAGGCTGCACATGGTCCTCGCACATTCCCGACACGGCTTTGCCTTTCTTCACCTGGAGAATTCCACGCCACAAATAAGATGTTTTAAGGGTCAACGTACTTGACTTAATTGGGTCAACACACAACAATCTTTGTATCCACTAGATCACTCTCCAATCGACAGGATGTCATCCACACGGTACGCCCGCGTATGTTGAAACGGTGTCCAATTTCAAACTCCTATATAATATAGGATACATAATTACCCTGGGATTCCTGGGATTGCAACAATAATTTATTTTCCATGGTCTATACCAAACAACCATTGACTGAGAAATGTTCACTACCAAACCAGGTCTGACGGTCAACCATTTGTTTGATGGTCTTTGAAGGCTAGGGATTATACAAGAAACTACGGTTTCTAAGTCTTTGGTGCCTGTCTTTGGAACCACTGGGTCCACTTATAAGACTGTGTGGGGTGCGGCACAAGGCATTCCAGCCACAAAATCTTCAAGGGGGCCCAATAGACAAAATCATGATGAGGAATCATGGCATGGGAAACAAAAAACACTGCAAAATGAGCAAAGCGGGAAACACAAGTCCAATC